AGTTCGAAACTATTCTAGTTAATCTGTATTAATCAAAGAAAAACTAGAAAAACCGTGACGGCGTGACACTTTTGACAAAAATGGTTAAAAGTGTCACGCCGTCACGGTTTTTCTAGTTTTTCTTTGATTAATACAGATTAACTAGAATAGTTTCGAACTTGACAAACTATCACATCTTGTAGTGCAAACAATTTTCTACAAACTAGTATACTTGTTCAATTTGCCGGCTCGACTTCACTCTTTGAGAGACGCTTTTTAGATAGCCTCAACATCGATTTTTGGGGCTGTTTGTACAACAGCTGTATTTTCATATCGAATCAACGTTCAGAGCCAAGACACTTTTCATTTTGTAGAGAAACGTTTAATCTACTCAATTATCTAGTTGTAATTTTAGATTATTTTCTAACTTTATTTCCATAGTTCTTTGAAAAAGAGCGAAAAACGGAGACTGTTAGCTAGACAAGCCGTGAATTTTTTAGAAACTCCACGAGGTTTTATAGTAAACCTTTTTTTGGAGAGTACTAATCAGATTAGGTCGAGTTCATCTGATAACAGTTGAGCAAATGAAAATAACACGAATCACTACACTCCTTACCGGCAGTACCTGAGGAAAGTTTGGCAAGTAAATAATGTACTTGGCAAGCGCTACTCTTGAATAAATTTTACTATTATTTGCTATATACTTTGAAAGTAGATAACACATAATATGTGTGTGTTGGTAGAATAATGTTTATTCCATTGTTTTATTTTTATTTTAACATAGCGAGTGCGTAAGAAACAATTGTGATGAATATGCTCACAAAATTTTACTCTTATAATCGTGGCTGTGTAAGGAGTGTAGTTATTCGTGTTATTTTCATATGCTCAACTGTTATCAGATGAACTCGACCTAATCTGATAAATACAAGCAAACACTTAATGGGTGAGACATATTTGCCACTAGAAGTCAATGCTTAGTTGAGACAAAACCGAGTCGAGCTTTGCTCAATCCTTGCCCAGCGAGCTCGAGCCGACTACGAGCCGATGCTCAACGAGCCCGAGTTCTCGGACTCGGACCATGTCTAGCTCAACCACTAGTATTTTTGGAAAATACTTGCGAAGTTCCTATAATGCACGTCAACTATTTGTGAAGTACCCACAGAAATTTGCAAGTAAGGAACTACCCGCTCTCCAGTACATTCACTAGGATAGATGTATCCGGAGGTGGATATCAATAAAAAAGTTTAATTTACCCCTTTAAGAGATGTTCCTCGAATGCAGTACGTGATGAACGGTGTAGGTTCTACATATGTGATGTACTTAGGCTCGCCGATCCTTCAAAACGAGAAATAATGCAAAATCTATGAAAATACTGTTTTATTTCATCATGCTCAATACGATCACCGCTAACTATTATGTTGTTTCATATTAAAAAATAAACGGCTGGCTGCCTGGTGGACTCATCGAGCCTTTCGCCAAAAATGCACAGAAATGAAAAAATGCCACAAAGGCTGCTGTCTTCACGAATGTGAGTATCCATTCTCTGGAAGCTCAAGTACGAATGTTCGATGCTTCACATACGGCAAACGTAACCTTAATGGTAAAACTCACAAGTGTATAAACTAAAAGGCATCAGTCTTTCTCACCTTTAATTTGAGATCATTTTCAATCATTTCAAGAAAAAGAAAATGCTTTGAAAGATGGACCGTTTTCGGTGCGATTCTTTTCGGTCCAAAGCGGCTAATGTGACCGAAAATTCCGTTTTTTCTGCTGAAGAAAAAACCGCTTGAACCGCTTTTTTTAGCAGTTTTTCTATAGAAATTTCGTGCATGGGTGCTGCCACTTTTTCATCACTCTCATTTAAAAACGTAAGCCAAAAGCAAATCGACAGTCACATAAAAAGTTAAGAGATAAGGTTACAGCATCAGTTCGCAACGATAAAGCTAACATTCAGTCGATATTCTCTGATCCCGAAAATTATTGGACCAGTTTAAATCGTTTTCGACTACTCAGACTATCCTGCCACAATTATCCATGTTAAGTCCACTCCTAGCGATGGCCAAGTGGAAGCTGACATGTTCTCTGAGTTTTCTAGAGACTAGTTTTTTCATCAAACGCAGGCCTCCTGCCTCTTCTCTTAAATCAAAATCAATGTGAACAAAGATTTTTATCAACTTTTGAATTTTCGGCAGCTGAAGTCATACTTTTGATAAAATCATTAAAAAGGAAAATAAATTGTGAGGATTGACGGAGTTCCCGTTCAACTTCTCCAGTTCTACGCTGATGTACTAGGACCACTTTGATTAAGGCAGTTTACAAAAAAGGATCTCGTTCACTCCGTTCCAATTATCGCCCGATTTCGTTATTATCGAACGTCAGTAAAGTTTTCGAAATGATAGTCCAACAAGCACTTCTACGTGGTTTGGAGCAATCAAATTTTTTTTCTCACGTGCAATTCGGTTTCCGTCGCCAGCCTAGTATCGCTGATGTACTTCCGCAAATCATCACTGAGTTGAGTAAGCATCCTGAAAAACGAGATAAGGTCATAGGGATGGCGTCTGATTTCTTAAAAGCGTTCGGCAGGGTACTCCATCAGTTACTCCTCATAAAATTGTCCCTAACAGGTATCGATAGGCCACTCTACTAGTGGTTCGGCTCCTATCTCTATGAACCGAAACAAATTGTTTCCGCTAACAATAAATGATCCAGTTCAGTACCTGCAGTTTCAGGAGTTCCACAAGGAAGTATATTAGGTCACATCCTTTTCCTCATTTTTATCAATGACCTCCACAGCATTTTTCCCTCTTCAACAATTGTTTGTCTTTTTGCTGACGATCTTTTTCCTTTTGTCCAAAGATTTCACCGATTTGGTAAATGCTCAAAATGACCTGGATGCGACGTCTGACTGGTGTGACAAAATGCTAGTAAAATTAAACATCGATAAGTGCGCTTTTATACACTTTTCAGCAACTACACGCCTTCTACTTTAAGAAATTCGTTTTCTTTTATCAGAACAGGCTCGGGTTAAGGATAACAATATTAAGTTGCTACCGCGAACACGTAACGCGATCGGTTATAGACTCGCGAAATTTGTTCCTAATCTCGCGATCGCTATAACGTCGCGATGGAACGGGATTTTTCCTATATAGTCGCTAGATTCGTGACGCGACTTCTTCATTTTCTTCTTTTACCCAAGCAAAAACGACCCAATTTTTTGGGTTATTTATCTAGATTCAACTCCACGTACATCTAGATGCACGTGGAACTGAATCTAGATAAATAACCCAAAAAATTGGGTCGTTTTTGCTTGGGTAGTGGGCATGACTCTTTGTTCTAGCGGCGGGACTCACGATTTCACAAAGCGACTCCTATGTTTTTTAATCAAAAAAGCGCGACCTTTTACTTCTCGCTATTTGACTCGCAAGGGAGGCGCGGTTTCTGTCAAATCCACTCTCGTCGTTTGCTTCATAGTTCTTTCTTATTTATCAAGTAAAAGGCTGTGAATATTCTATTCTCATGGCTTGTGGATCCAGTTTAACTGCCTCCCAGCAGAGCCGTAGCCAGGGGGTAGGCAAACAGGGCACGTGCCGACCCCTTGAGATTTTACTTCAATGTATAATATATACTAAATTTATAGGGGATAAATGCCGTGTGGAGATAAAACGCAAGAAAAAGTGCGCGACCTAGCTTTAACATGGAAATTCAGACTAGTAACGATGGAACTTTTTTGTGGATGCCCACCCCTTACCAAATTTCTGGCGACGGCCCTGCCTCCCAGGTGACCTTATACGCTCTAAACTGGCCATGGCCAGGCTAGATTTTCCACGGGCTGGGCACGTTACGTGGTCGTGGGTGTGGCCATGCGTGTGGCAAAGCCACGTCACGTGGCTTGCAAAATTCGTGCGAGCTTGCCATGCCATGTGACTTGTTTTTCGACGACTATGCCTAGGACAAACTTAGAAGCAACTACACACTCTTTCCTACCGCGCACATGCATGGAGTGAAACCTCTTGCTACATTGTGTCATATTCCAATTTGCCATAGGAGCATTTAGGCGAAGGCTTAGACTGTATTTAAATATGTAGTTTTACAACGGGGATTAGAATCTGTAATTCCCTGTTTGAAGTTTTCGCTGTTCTCTTCATGTGTAATAACTCCCTCTTGTCTCTTAACATAGGCGTTACATTCATCTAAGTTTTTCATTGTTGTAACATCCCACACATGCTTTTGTTAAAATGAACTGTTTGATTGATTGATTAGATTGAGCTGAGTAAGAGTGTTGTTTACTTTCAGTGCTTCTGCTAGTGCTTCACTTCCCCTATCGGATATTCGGTTTCTTGCAAGATCAAGATGAGTAAGAGTGTTGTTTACTTTCAGTGCTTCTGCTAATGCTTCACCTCCTCTCTCGGATATGTAGTTATCTGTAATATGAAGCTGACTGATACTGTGATTTACTTTCAGTGCTTTTGCTAGTGCTTCACCTCCTCCATCGCGTATTTGGTTCCATCCAAGATGAAGGTGAGTAAGAGTCTTGTTTACTTTCAGTGCTTCTGCTAGTGCTTCACCTCCTCTCTCGGTTATTCGGTTCCATTCAAGATGAAGCTGAGTGAGAGTGTTGTTTAGTTTCAGTGCTTCTGCTAATGCTTCAACTTCTCTATCGGATATTGCGTTGCTGCTAAGACCCAGTTTAGTGAGAGTGTTGTTTACTTTTAGTGCTTCTGCTAGTGCTTCACCTCCTCTATCGGATATTTGGTTCCTGCTAAGATCCAGTTTAGTGAGAGTGTTGTTTACTTTTAGTGCTTCTGCTAGTGCTTCACCTCCTCTATCGGATATTTGGTTCATGCTAAGATCCAGTTTAGTGAGAATGCTGTTTACTTTCAGTGCTTCTGCTAGTGCTTCACCTCCTCTATCGTATATTGCGTTACTGCTAAGATCAAGTTGAGTGAGAGTGTTGTTTACTTTTAGTGCTTCTGCTAGTGCCTCACCGCCTCTATCGCATACTACGTTCCTTCCAAGATGAAGTTTAGTGAGAGTGTTGTTTACATTTAGTGCTTCTGCTAGTGCTTCGCCTCCCCTCTCGGATATGTGGTTGCTGCTAAGATCAAGTTCAGTAAGAGTGTTGTTTACTTTCAGGGCTTCTGTTAGTGCTTCAACTCGTGTATCGGACATTGGGTTGTCTGCAATATTAACTTGAGTAAGACTGTTGTTTGCTTTCAACTCGTTTACAATGAAGACTGTAACTAGTTCAAAAGCATTGTGGGCCGTCGTGTCTCTGGAATCGCACATATGGAGCGTTAGTGATGATAGTTGAGTCATGCAGGACAACTGTGGCACCAGCACTTTGATCACTTGTTCTGGTTTGATGGCGAGTAACGAGAGGGAGCGAAGATTCACCAGTGTGTTCTTGGAAGAGTGCGTGAGTAACAAATCAAAGCAATGGGAGGCCTCTTTAGATAGATACAGAGAACGAACTTGTGCCGTTGATGGAAAGTGTTCGCAGATAAAGTCACATTTGGATATTCTCATGCGCTCGAGGTTCAGATCAAACTGTAGATTACCGAGTAGTCCATCAAAGCGATCATTTAGTCGAAGGAATGAATGGAGAATATCATAAGCGTGCAAATGCGCCAGAATGTCAAGAATCACTTCGTTTGGAAGCGATTGAAATTGAGTCACATCTAAATAAATGCGCATTGTCAAGAGTTCGCATTCTTGGTCTTTCTTATATGAAGAGAGCCTCTGAAGAATAAAGGAGAGAAAATGGCAGGATGCATACTCATTCTCGAATATGACTAGTAGTGTTATATTCAGTGATTGTTCTTTCGAGTATTAGGCACGGCTTTATCGTGTCTGTGTAATATAGATGGATGGATAGCCAGCCATTAGCATTTTACTATGCGCATGACCTTGGATGTCATCTTTCTTTCTCCACTATTCTCAACATATTGCAATCATTAGGTACGTGTATGCCACAATGAATGTTGTTGAAGTAGACATGATCAACTTACCATTCTGTGTTTGCTTGAGACATTCAGCGTTGCCACAAGTGGTGAGCATACGGTCTGAAAAATCATGCTGCATATCTGTTTAGGATGTGAAATTGCGTTCGTGTTTACTCTGCTGTCAGTTGTGATCAGAAGACTGTATAGACGCGATGTTTTTGCGTACATCATTTAAGTGTCATGACGACATCATACATTTCTCTTTTTCTTTTCTGCTATACATTCGATTTATTTTGGATGGTTTTGTATTTCAATGATAAATATTAGAAAGCAAAAAATACTCTATGCTCTATACTGAAATTTGCTTGTCAGTATTGTCTGAGTCACTGAGGGCAACAAACGTACGTGTATATATAAATTTAGACTGTGTTTACTTTCCGTATTACTTACCGTATTGCATGCCAAGTCCGAGTAGTAAAGGTGATATACATATTTCTTCACCTTTTAAGTGTGTTTCTGCTCTTTGTGTCATGAATCGTGTCAATCACTCAAGTGATATGATACAATTAAGTGGTACAAATGAAGCACTGCCCTAGTCCAACATCTTGTCCAAGATCTTACGTTAAGATTTGGCACTAGATCTTGGAAAAATGGGTACAAGATCTCAGGACATTTTTGTGCCCAAGATCTTACGCAAGACCTTGGATACAGATATTTCTTGATATCTTGTATCCAGGATCTTGAACATTTGAAAAATCGTCATATTTCAAAACTAACTTTTTTTCTTTGCATTTTTTCAACAAGTGTTGAGAACAAAAGAAGTTTACCACTCAGTGGTGAACATTTCATCCGCTAGGACGAACGATCCCTAATGCCTGGCTGATGGAATTTTGACTCTGCTGTCGACTAAAACATAGTAACATTAGACACAAAATAGAATGTTCATATATAGGATGACATCGCCAAAATAAGACGGTGAATGATAACCAATGGTTACTCAAAGATC